CACAATGTTTGCAGATTTCTGGTTCTGCGATGCCAACGTAGGCTCCTCTAGATTCTTGTTCGTTTCGTTTTATCGTCGACAACGACATTTCATGAAAATGTTTGCAAAAAAAAAATTATCACGAAATTATTTAGTTGGTGTTTACGTATTTATCGTTACATAATTTTACTGCGTAAAATGACAGACTCACAAATCAGTTGATCTGGTACAACCAACACTGAAAAATCAAAATCCTTAACGTCAATAATATTTGTCAAAAATCCTTGGGTTATTAGTTTTAAAACGAGGATAGATTGATGTTGGAGGCGCTAGAATTTTTTTCATAAACCTATTGATTCACATTACAGTCGAACCTCAATAAGCACACTTTTATTTACCAATTTATTATAAAATATAAGAAATTTAACTTCTCTATACACTATCACCTTAGTCACACCCAATTTTGTTTCCCAACCCTGTGACTATATTAAGGTTCGATTATACATGTATATTGAAAATCTACAACTATGTCTAAAAAGAGTTTTTTTGTTTGGTATTGTTTGTATTTGAGAACTGTTTAAACGTCAGATTATTCCGTGGATTCAAATAGGATAAATTTAACTTTTGGACACTGAAAATTGGATTGAGTTATCTGGTGTTGGTACTTCGAAATACAGCAACCAATATTTGTTAAAATTCTAACCTATGATAAAATTTTCTTTTCTATTATGCTAAAGCGAACGCGTAATTGTATTCAAAATTATTAGGCGGAAAATAAAAATGTTGAAAGCTGGCGCGTGCAATGATTCCGAAATCTTTCTTCTGACCCTTATGTCGTTTTTAATTTTAGATCGATTATGCTCACGTAGATACTTGTTTGGTTACTACTTGAACTTAAATTATCAGTCTTTTGAAATGACTATGCCTGGGTGGGTATTTGCTTTTTAAGAATAGTTTTTATAAATTAAACCCTACTTAATTTTATGTCGCGTTAGATGCTTTTATTGACGGTACATCTCTTGCTCTACCAAGACAACAATGCTGCCAACGAACAGATATAGATTTTATGAGATTTATGATTCTTTAATCTCAAGGAGTGAATAAATTTACCTCAACGATCTACAGATAACGAAGTCCGTAAATTGAATGCCTGATTATTATTTGTTTTGTATTTGTTTTTATTTCATAATTACCACTTCAATGAATTATGTATGATTTATTTCGAACAAAATGGTGATAATAAATTTAATCCACCCGATGAAAGTTGCTCTTCACGGTAAAGATTCGAGGCACTCTTTAATTCGGACTCAGAATCTCTGACGCTGTTAGTTCGAAATAATTGCCAAATCTGAAGAAACTCATACCAAAACTTTGAATGTAGCCCTTTAACCACATTAGATGATTGATAATGGATTCTACCAGAGCATTTTTGGAATTTAAAGTAATCTCCGCGTACCCCATATTCGCCAGTTTAGTAATTTCTCTGCCGCACTTGCTCACTCCTTAGCTTATAAGACTTTTAAATATACCACTCTCCATAAATGCAATATCTCTCTAAATGTATGCCAATGTCGGATTAGTCATATGGTCCCGACGAATTGCATTTAGGGCGAGTTGACTGTACGTTCTGTCATTCATCTGAAATCTAGTCATTTTATTTAAATTACTAAACTAACTCTATTTTTATATTTAATAATTTACTCGATTTACTGATTCGTTCTACACATAGAGCTTGATTTAAATCGGAGCGCCTTTTGACATGATTATAAAAATGTCTAGGTCAATACTGTATGTTTCAAATTCATTCTGAGTACGGGAAAAATCGATCATTGTTTGACTTCGACAACGCTCTCATAACGATAGCGACAATATCGGTATACCGAAACCATCAGAATGAGCAAATATTTAAATCAATAATTTGTGTTTTAAAATCATGAATTCCACTTATAAAACCGACTATTCTTCAAAGTATACCCCTAAACATTTCGCCATATTTTAGTCATTTATACATACTCTGGAAATTTCAGAGAATTATTAGACATTGACTGCCTAAATGTCAAAACCGATTCTAACTTTTGACAAACTATTAAAACATTTTCGCACAAAGTTTCACGGATTTATCTCACTTGAGCAGCTTTTGTAGATACAATGTACATCGATATTGTGTGGGCAAATGATCTGGTTATTTGGCCAAATTAAAATAACTTCGAGTCGAGGTCATTTGGTCATTCAGACGTTCAGATGGAATATTTGATTATTGGAATTCGTTATCGTTATTGATTGAACATCTTTCAAATCACTCAATAATCAATAACTAGTTATCAAGATCATTTACGTAGTCATCTCAGAAAATTTGCCAACACTGATTCAATATATGAACAATTAGTTCTGCTTCTATCTGCGAAAATGATTGATTACTGCTAAAGCAAGCAAGCAAGCATTAAGGGGTATCAGAAGACGGAAAATAAAGGAACACGATTCGGAACAAGACAAATGGAGCTAAATTAGCTAATGTTGAACTTTCAAGTAAATATTTTCGGAGCTTAGCTTTCATTGGTAATAAGAAACCTTGTATGTGCTATCGTTATATAAAATGGTGCAGGAACCGTTAAATGCAGGATATCTTAATGCTTTTTATGAGCTTAAAAAAAGTTCGTAAGATGTTCTTTGAGGTTGCTAAGAAGGTAAAGAAAGCTCTAAATCTGGAACGGTCTCATACTAAGAGATATTCATGACAAATGAAAAAGCTATTCTGAGCCACTTGGATTATTCTCAATCTTCTATTAAGAACATACCGATACTCCCTGGAAATAAAGTAATAATAATGACATAATATTTTTCATACAAATTTTACAAGTTCGGAAATAGTCTAATAATTTGGTTGACTAGCACAAATGCATTCTCTCGGAAGCTAAAATTAAAAACCCACCTTACAAATAGAACCGAGAAACCCATTGTCCATTAACACCACCCACCCCTTGACTCATTACTCGTTTTGCTCCTTGATTAATGAATAAGGTTTAATTTCATAATCACCGATCCGAACTCTTACTTTGCTGCATTAAATCTAAAAACTTGGCGTGTGTGTAATACGTAATGACATTGTGTAAGCATGATGTGGTTGAATATGTGAACACAACAGCTTCGTGATACTTTACATGATTTTGTGTTTATATAGTGTTGTATTTGTGTTTGGGTGAAGTATCATTGATATGACATAGAGTACGTATTTCGTTTTCAGAAAGAATCGAATTTGTTGTGATTGTTATGATTCTTTACTATAAATAGAAATGTATTATATAAAATATTAAAAAAAAAACTTAAGTGTACTAAACTTATCCATCAAAATTAAAATTAAACGGTTTTTCATCATGCTCGATCCGTGCGTGTTGGAGGTTATATATATACATTGCAGACAGATCGACTTGAATCACAAGTTTTTAATATATAGTAGCGACACTGGATGGAAAACTGGCTTACAGTCAAGTTCAAATACGCAATTATTTGCCGCAGTGATTGTTACCACCACGTTCGAATTGTCTATAAGGAATGATTTATGGAAAAAAAACTGGATGTGATCTAGAACATTTAATGATAAACAAAAAAAAAAGAAGTGCGTATGCATAAAAGTGTCACGTACTGTATTAGAAATAATACTATGATTTGATTAAAAAATAACACGTTTCTATTTTATTCTCTTTCTCTCTTTTTAAATTCGATTCTAAACAATCATCAGAGGAAGCGTGCTGCATTCTCATTAGTATATTTTTCTTATCCGGTATTTATTTGTTTATCGTTATTGTGTATGCATTATTCATGATGATGTCTGACACATTTTCTTTGCGTTTGTGCATTGTTGATCGACCCCTGAAAAGCAGAAAAAGAAATAAAAGAAGCACGATAACATAGAAAGATGACGTTGTTCTCTTTTCAATCAAAGAAAGATACATACAAAGAATAGTAATTTGTATTTTAATATTATTCTGAATAAAGGTTCTTCAATGTCAAACAAAAAAAGCCGAAAGAATACTTGATGAAGATGGAATTTAGCATTGATTGTTGATAATACTAAAAGTAGTTTAATATTATCATCATCTTCATCACATCTATTCTATTATACTGAGAAAATAAAAGATGGTCTGCTGCTACTCTTGTATCGGATATAATCAACAATTCAAGTAATACCGGTAGTTGGTGTGGTATGCAGCACACCCCCGCGAAAATCCCGCATAGGGAACACCGACATCCTGATCTTGCCTGTTTTCTACTCGGTTACACGAAAACAATGATGGCGGTTATTAGTATTGCCTGTATGATAATGGCGCTTAGAAAATTATTAGTAAAGCATCATTTCTTTATTATTATCAATATGGCATTTATGTGCCGAATGTTGAATGAATTGTTTTTTTTGGATAAATATGCAGAATTTGCCACTTTTCTTTCTCTGACCGTGTGCTTCTCTCACACGAATACTTGTAATATGTCGATGATGGAGGGTTTTTTTTGAATTTTTTATCGATTAAACAATAGACACACTGTTTGTGCTATTTTAAAATATAGTTAGTAGTTGTCGTTATTTAAATTTCTTTGTTGTTTTTCTTTCTTACAACTCAAGGCTGTTTAAAGCAAAAGCAAAAAAAAAGATTACATCACATCAATTCGATAAATCTATCAGAGCAAAAGAAAATAATTAAGAATAGTAAAGACTAACAATCAATAACAATTAATTTAACAACTATAATGGGAAATTGTCAAATGAAAAGAAACCATTCAAATGATGACTATGACTCCGACGACGAAAAAATCACCGGGGAAAAATATCCTCGGCATTATCGATTCATTGACGGGCAACGATATCATAACTCGCGAAATTCTGTTTACTGTCTACCGTCAGACGAGAAAGAATGTGAGCGACTAAATATACAGCATTACATGTATCGGTATATATGGCAGAGTAATTTCTCGGCGAAGGTGGAGCAGAAAATGATAAATGATAGTGGCGTAAAAGTACTTGATGTTGGGTTAGTAACTATATCATTATCTAATAAACCATTTTGGAGATTAGCATGTGGCAATAATAAATTTAATTTCGTTCATAGTTGTGGGCCAGGAACATGGTTACTTGAAATGAGCTCTGAATTTCCGAAATGTCATTTCACAGGGATCGATATTTTCCCAAGCATGTTTCCCGAAGTGAAACCGAGAAATGCACAATTCATCAAAGCAAATGTCCTTGATGGACTGCCCTTTGATGGTACGTTCCATTTATTTTTCATCGTTGAAATATTGGATCAGATGTCCTAATATTTATATTTATCAAACATTACGCCAATGCAACTTTATTTAACGATCACGCCGCGGCCGCCCTTTGTGTGAATAGATGATACATTTGATTTTGTACATATGCGATTTTTGTGTATTGCGTTCACCGAAGATGAATGGGAACACAAAGTTATACCGGAATTAACGCGTCTGGTGAAACCGGGAGGATACCTCGAGATTATGGAGGCGGATTTACAGTTTAAGAATATAGGAAGTAACGGGAAAATATTTGTGGATGCATGTAAGTTTTATTTAACACCTTACTAATACATGTACATATCAATGAATTAGCTCGAATCTATTTTTCTGTTTATTGTTATCAGGGCTCCAAGATCTATCCTCTCGCTTCATCAACCCATTAATAATTCACAAACTTGAAGGATACCTACACGCCACACCCGCTCTTCAAGATATAACTTCAGAACGCCGGCCAAATCCCGTCGGCGACTGGGGCAGCCGTGTTGGGAAAGTAGCCGCAGATGTTTTCGTCTCGCTAATACGATCTCTTGAGACACGACTCATTGATCGAATGGGTCTAACGTCGGCCGAGTTTCAGGAGTTGATAGAGTTTGCCGCGCATGAGTTCAACGAAAATAAAACTTTCTCGGTTAGCTGTCGTGTATATGCGAGGAAGTTATGCGATGATGATGGAATAAAGGAAGGGAGTTCTACGTTAACGTCACCGACCGCTATGATAAGCAATGTTGATGCGAAGACGAGACATTCAAAGGAACTCTCGCAAAAGTATTATAATTTCTATTAGTTATTCTTTATTATCGATTGTACAGACATTTCAAAATTACAACATCAATCACATCCCCTTTAAATACATCCCCGACCCATCCCTTTTTTCACTTGTATATTATTACACTCTTTTGCATTTTCAAAAAAAAATATATACACACATAAATAGAAATCATTCATTTCATTCATTCGCTCATCTCCATTCATTTCATCTTTTGCAACAAAAGTAATTTTTTTAAGAAAAACCTGATAGTATTTTATATAAGCAAGCGCATTGATTTAGTATTATGTATTGTGTTTTAGATCCCCAAAAATTAGAATCAACTTTTTATATATTGTTATCATTATTGTTATTTTCTATACGTATATTCATCATTTTATGCATCGTTTTTTTTGTAATTGAATTATCCGAAATCAAGTATGTTATTAATAATAATATTATTCGTTATCATAGTAGGTACTCGAAATAAAAAGCTTCCTCGTACAAATTTTTTCTTTTTTCAAAATAATAATTACACGGTGTGTGTTTATTGAAATAAGAGTGCTCAGACGCGTTCTTTTTTTGTTTTATATTTGTAGACATGTCAGAGCTTACCGCTACCGCTACTCCTTTTTGTGAATCCAAAAATAGTTAGTCCGGAATCATTTTGCAACAATCATGTTCTACTATATCGTTATGGATATTTCAACCAAGCAAATACATGTATAAAATGACATCTTGATTTTAAAAAACCGATACGACAGACTTTTTCTCTTTACAAAAATTTATAGTATATCGATATGACGTTCTCTGAAATAAAAGAAAACGAAAAATGCCCACATTGCGTCAAAAAATTCACGAGTCTATACTGGTGTAGCACGTGTGAACATAAAAAATTTAAACAAAATTTTAATAAATGGACAAGTGGAAATGAAGAATATGATGAATTTATACAGGATACACAACTAAAATCTTCAAATCATCAAGATTATTTTGAATTCATTCCATACAGGCAATTTTCACAAATTAAAGAAATTGCAAGAGGAGGATTCGGAACAGTATATTCAGCAGTCTGGGATAAAGGACCTCTTTCTATTTGGGATGAAATAGAAAATAAATGGTCAAGAGCTGGAGATACAAA